TCCCTCTGTCTCTCTCGCTCTCGCTCTCGCTCTCGCTCTCGCTCTCTCCCTACCTCTCTGTCTCTCTCCCTCTCTCTGTCTCTTTCTGTCTTTCTGTTTGTCCGTCTGTCCGTCTGTCCGTCTGTCGGTCGGTCTGTCGGTCGGTCGGTCTGTCTGTCCGTCTGTCTGTGTCTCTCTCTCTCTCTCTTCTCTATCTTCCTCTCTCTCTCTTCCTCTCTCCCTCTTGTCTCTCTCTTCTCTCTCTTCACTCTCTCCTCTCTCTCCTCTCTCTTCTTTCGCTTCTCTCTTCTCCCTCTTCTCTCTCTTCTCTCGCTTCTCTCTTTTCTCTCGCTTCTCTCTCTCTCTCTCATTTCTTTCTCTCTTTTTCTCTCTTCTCTCAGTTCGCTTCCTCTCTCTCTCTCTCTCTGTCTCACTCTCGATCGCTACGTCTGCACACATGGTGGTGTTTTGGGTTCGTGGTGGACCCCTTCATACTCTTGCTCTCCAGCCGCTCCCAAGGCAGCCAAGTAAACATCAACAGAAACGCAAAGTTAAAGCCAACAGACACGTTCCAAGAAATCACTCGGAAATGCAGCTCTAAATTGAATCGGAAAGCAAGCAACAAATCACTAGAACGATGTGACCTGCACTAGTATTTTCACTTGATTTAGTTCGCCTTTTCCAATTTCAAGCACTTTAAACTGTTGTTGCAACAAAATCAATACTTGGATGGAGAAACATCAAAGTCGGATGGTCTGGGGTGTCCCAGGCTTTGCAAGGCATCATAGAGAGTAATGTGAATACGAGGCTGGTTCGGCCGGGCAACCGCGGATGAAGGTGGGGGTTTGCCAGCCCCGGCCTCTGCCCACACATGCCCACCGGCCCCCGAGAAAATCGTGCAACGCCACCACAAAAATCGACTGTGCTTGCACTGCTCGACAGCTCTTGAATAGTTCACTGAACGTATGTCCCCAGCAGCGGCCAGTGAAAGATTATAATTATTGAAGGGCGGGTCCAGTCTTTCTCATGTTGTCTTTGGCAGGAGAAGCACGGATTCAACAAGATGACTGCGCCTCGCTAAGAAGACCTCGTGATCTACCCAGCCTCTTACTTACATGTTTAACGACGTAAGTCCAGGTCAAGCTGTTCATTACGGATCTCATCAAGAGTGAGCTTCTGTCTGAACCTGAGACATGCCGAGCCAGACATTTGCATCGTACACTCAGGGGAAGATTGTAGTTTTGGTGGGCACGCATTCCGGTGCCAAGGACATATGTTTTCGGTGGCTTGCTGGTGCCATGCTCTCAGCGCAAGTCATTGCAGGCTTGGGCAGCACAAGGAGCCTTAAGCTGTCTCGAGAGGCCCATGCTCATTTGGATTGTTCGCTATTTCGGCGCAGGCCGCGGCCTCATCGCGAGGGCGAGTCAAAGGGATAAGGGATAAGTGCCACAGATATTCTCAGAGCGAGCAGCAGCGGAGGCTTTTATCTGTACCTGTGGGCCTTCGTCCAGATGCTCATGACAAGTCCTTGGCGAGTCTTTTGCGGGGAAGCTCTTCCTCTCTTGTTACTTGCTGCTCGAGGTTCGCTTTCATGTGGATGTATCCAAACGTGATTCAGCCGCTTTTCAATGAGTTCAAACCATTGCAGGCAAGGAAACTTTCTGTATCCAGAAGTTCCGCTTGCAGACATCGGTCACAGGATGAGTCGCTCAAGGAGAAGATCGAGGCATTGGCCGCAGAGGCAATGGCATGTACATGTACCGTGACATCACTGGAGCCGGGGGAATCGCCTGAGGGCTGTCCTCGGAAGCAGAGGAGAGCACCAGAAAGAACCGAGTGGGGGCGAGCAGGTGCAGTTCCCCTTGACGAAGCTCTTTGAAGTTGACGGCTCCAAGAGGCCTGCCTTTCCGACTCAGACCGGTGGCTTGAATTGCAAGGGTACCGTGGTCTGCAGGTCTGGCCACAGCAATGCATATTTCTTTGGATTTTGGAAGTGCCCCCTTGGATCTGGCGCCGGCTTGTAAGGAATGTTGAGGTACGCTGACCTGAGAAGTTCCAAAACTTTCTGCTTTATGGCCACATCCGGAGCACATGTTGAAAACAGCATATGCTCATGTCGAGTGCTTGCGGACACGGATTGCAGTGTTTGCCAAAACTGTTCAAATTCACGTGGTTTATGCAGAGTTTAGGACTGTTTAGGACCTGCAGGCAGACCATTCAATCCAGCTCCGCAAAAGTGAATGTCTTCAACAGCAGGTACAAGCGCATTGTTCTGTACGACACCTTGCGCTGGCCTTGCATACCTTTCATGTACTCGTATTGCACAGTCGCATCCCATGCAAGTCTTGGAGACGGACTTTTATTTAGGCTGCATTTGAAGCACGATGACATTTTGGCTATACTTTGTCATGAGCTAGGCGGGCACGGGGCATGCTGTGCGGGTTTCTCACAAAGCTAGTAACTAGCAAGCAGGTCACTGGAAGTTCGGCCACACGCTAACCAACCTGGTGATAGCGTCTGCCGATTCCTCAAAGCCATCCTGCAGTTCAGCAAGTCCGATGCGCACGGCCATCAGATTGCACGACATTCGCAATACCGGCGTGCAGCAAGTGACCTTGTGCAGTGAATTACTTTTGCATTTAGAGAGTTGGACTTTTGACCGTTATGGCCTCGGCCCCGGCCACATGGACGCTCTCCCTTGCCCATGAATTGACAAGGGACTACTGGGCAAGAGCGCGAGGCGCGAGCTTGCACAGCGACGCATAGGGATCTGTCACGAAAGTGTAGACTCAGAGGCCAAAGAACCGCGAGGGCTTCGCTCGGAAGTCTCAACTCTAGCAAGGCTTGCAATGGCAGCGTGGACGCTTCAGAGAAACCAGTGTGCACGGTTTCTCCGAGGAGTCTACAACAAGTACGGACCACGCAGCACTCTCCGATGCTCATGTTGCCACCCGGCGAGCGCTTCAAGCACCAAGAGTCAAGTGTTGCTCAAGACGACATGGGACTCTGCATCCCAGAATCACGGCCAAGAATGTCAATGCAGCTGGTGTTTGGGCTTTCGTAAAAGCCACCGAAAATATGGAGAGCTTGACCAGCCGCAATACCGGATCCGTATGAGTTGTATCAACTTATATCACTGGCGCTGGACGGCCAAGCTACAACTGTTCGGTGGCTCCTCTTTACCGTGCCCTTCTACAACAGAGGGCCGCGCATGTCTTGCGCAGTTTTGCAATGAGATGTCACTGGGGCTGAAGCAGTGCGAGCTCAAACACAACTTGAGGCTCACATCTTCGTGCTCTTCTGGCTTTTCGATTTGGTGATGTATTCAGAGGCACCCAAGACCGTAGTGTTGTCAAGTGTTATCGCTGCTCGCATACTCAAGACGACATGACTGGGAGGTATCTAAGCAGATGACCAAGCAGTTCGGGTATGGCGATGCAAACGCGGTCATGGCATGCGCCTGAAGACACTAGAGAGACCGAGAGACAAGAATAAACACAGGGCTGTTGTTCTCAGGTTTCACTCATGCTGTTCATGCTGTGCATCTGGCATGTCAGTGTAGGAAGTATAGCATGCAATTTGCAGCACTTCATGTTGCACACGTGGCAGGCTAGTTTCCCCGACGGAACAGTTGATGAATCTGCTCATGACCATGCGCAGACCTGAGCTTCGTGTTTTGAAGCTTTGCCTTGAGATCTTGGAAGCTTCGAGCAGGCGAAGTCGCCTCAACGAGTTCCAGGTCTTGCTTTGCGTTCTTTGGCCCTGTGGATGCCGCACAGCACTGTAGAGATGCACTCCAGGCAGACAGTTTTGCTGCAAAAATGGGCAGATCAGATGCCTTGCAGTTGGGACTCAGTCAGCACTGCACGTGTCGTGTTTGATGCATGTGCCCCCGCACCTTTCCGCCTCAGGAGTGGTTTGTTCCAGATACACGAGGAGAACAAGGCAAGTTGACCCTTGATGGAAGAGGTGTCTCTCCAAAATCTACGTCGACTTGTGGACAGGGCGACTTGAACCCCGATCCTCTTTACTCTTGGTACCATTTCTCGCACCCACCACTGGTCCGGCCTCCCAGATACTTTTACTTTCTGGTCGGCTGCAATTTCTGGGGATTCTGGAACCGATGCTGATCCAGAATACCTGCATGATAAGGTGGAACGGGTTCGTGCATTGAAAACCTTGGAGACTGATACCACCAAGAAGACCACATGAACGAGCAATCATTTCGAAAAGAAGAAGCATGCAGGGCATTCAAATTCTATGGTATTTTATAGATTCAATCTTGATTTCACGAGACGATATTTTTTACTTGGAATTCCAATATCTCGATTCTGAAAACAATTTATTGACAGAAACTAGGCATCATTATATTTTTATTTTATAAATATCGATAGGATTCTTTAAATTATGAGATTATTAATTTTGAATTATTATAAATTTTTATTAATATACATAATATTTATTTATATTTCATATAAAAATAAAATCATGAATTTCTGATAGATTCGAAAAAGAAAAAATATGAAGATATATAAAAATATTTTTAAGATTTAGAATTTCTTTTTATGATAAAATTAGATAGCTTAAATATGAATTATTTAAGAAATATTATATGATATTAAAATAAAATATATATAATATTAAAAAATAAAATTTATTATTTTTCTAAATTAAGAATTATGATCTCTTTTATTTTCTATTTTCTTGAAATTGAAAAATTTTAGAGAACACAAACAAAATAG